TTAATATAATTTAACCAAGTTTTACTTTTACCATTTAGACGTCTGTCTAAACTCTTGATTTCGTCCAGCAACCTTAAATACAAACTAATACAATAAATAATACCTTGTCTATAATTGTGTGTAGCAGTTTTAGTACTGTGCTTTTCAATTGCTGCGCTTCATCGCTCAAAATGATTAAAGGCTCGAGTTGAGTGTCGTTATCAAATCTATTCATCAAAGACACAGCATAATAAGCCCATGTTTGACCATTTTTCATAAAACCACTACGAGTACGTATAGGTTTCTCCGTTTTATCTTATACGCAATTAATAAAAATTCAGTAAGAATGTGAACAATATTTAAGAAAGACTAACTTCAAAGCTTCTTACCATCACTTAGTAAATAACGAAAAGCACTTAACTCGCCAAGAGCATGAAAAAATCTTAACCGACAACACTCTTGTGTAGCCTCATCAATATATGGTATAGGTAATATATATTTGCTAATTTTTTTCTCGGAATTATCCGTCCTTGAATTAACAGCGGCTTGTTGATTTTTGAATCTTACCGTTTTTGAGTTACGTTTTGATTTTTTATTATGAGATTCTGATTTGTTGATTTCAACCTAAAAATAATTAAAAATTAGCGCGGAAAATTTTAATAATTATGATTATACTTAATTCATACCTTATTATCCTTTGAAAAATCATCTAATAATGAATCTTTGGCTGTGTAAAATCCATAAATAAGAAAAAGATCTAAAACTAGACTTAACCAGCCTTCATGACGATTAATGTGAGGATTTTTTAAAAGTGAATATAAATGGTTTATAATCCATTGACGTCGTTGTATTGTTACATCGTTATCACTATTTTAAGCGTTTAAAAAATATTAATAATTTAACTAGATAATCAATACATATTCTAAATAATGTACCTTAACAAGTATTCGTCAGGTCGTAAGAAAATATTTTTCAAAAATAAAACGTATTCCTCAATTGTACTATTGTTAATAACATGGAATATGTTCCTGACGGTGTAAGTCTTGCTAACTTTGTCAAAATCTCGATCACAATTTTGACCTAAAAATTTTTTAACAATAACCAAGGCCTTTCTCTGGTTTTCCTCGGCGACTTGCTCAATAATCTTTAACTATTTATGTAATGACAAATATAGTTAATTGTTGTAAAAAAAAAAATTTGAATTAATCACAATTACCAGGTGCATTGCAGCTTCATGCAAATAACGGTTTTTCTCGTAGGAATGATTTATCAAAGTTCGCATTAAGTTAAAAGTGAATAAGGAAGAAAATTTGTCTTCCGGACATATTTGAAGAGCCTTCTCAGTTAATTGAAATCCCCAGAATTTACGTTGATATGTAGCATCATCATCAAAAAGACATTCTACAATATCGTTTCGAAAAATAAATCATTCAATAGATTAAGAGGTATTTTATTATTGAAAACATTTCTTACCATCAACAGCCGTCTTCCAAAATTCTTCAAAAGCAACTGTTTGTTTTCTAAGTTTATCGGTGGGGGGAGAAATAAGCCAAAGAATAATCGTATTCCAAACAGAATGAATACGATTTTCTTGATTCTGCTGAATTTCAGCTGCAGATTGACTGGACTTTGCCTATTTATATTTATAAATAAGAATTAATGCTTTATAATTTAATAAAAATTTAAAATATAAAATTTTTATAATCTAACTTCAATACATAAAAATATTAATTAAATATATATAATGGCTAAAAATTTGTAAATACCTGAATAGCTTCTGCCAACTTTTTTAAATTTTCGGGATGAAGTATATGAGGTTTGTACCATTTCGCTATACATGAATCGCCATTATGAACCACAACTCGTATCCATTGACTGCTTTGTATTATATCCTATATAATGAAACCAACAAAATATTAATCTGATTGCAATTACCTTCTACGAAAAATTAAATCCTATTTGTTTCATATGTATCTCATAACGTTTAATCCATTGTAATTATATACAGGTTAATCAAAAAGATATTTACAGCAGATTAAGATCGTCTGCCATACCGGATATTGTGCTTCAATAGCAATAGCCAAATTAATATCGTCAGGGTTATTGATACCACTCACGCCACTGCGTTCATTCATAACCGTTATAAGGTGAGAAATAGCCTTCTCCTCAAATGTTGTTTCCTTCAACTAAAAGTGCGTAACAATTACAATTAATATTTGGTATAAAAATCTATTGACTAGCACTTGTGGTATTACTTACTAAAGGTATGGTTGAAATAATAACTTGATAGCATGTTTCCCTAACATATGGTTTACTATTTGCACAAGCCAGTAAACCATTGATCACTTCGCAATAGTCATCGTAGGACGATGCTTTACGCCAAAGAATACCTGATCTTACGACTGACGCGAAGCCGAAAACACGTCCAAAAATTACATCAGATCCTTCCTGCAATTATGATCGAATTAATATATATTAATAATTATAAATGAATTATTTAAATATATACCTTATCCTTCGAAGAAGATATTGGACAGGCATCATCAATTAATGGAAGAATCATTTTGAATGTAAAGAACTCAAAACTGGCAAGAAGCTATATTGAATCCACCAAGTGATTAATATTAGCAAGATAATGTTTATTTTACAACATAATAATACCTCTGTAAATGCTAAAGCAAAACCATGCCGAGCTGCTGCTCGCGGACTAGCAAGTCCTCTCGTCAAACGAATCATAGCATAAGCTACAATAGGACCACACAATTTTTCAATTATCTCTGTAGAACTATCAATTAATTAAATGTAATTAATTATTTGCGAAAAATAAAAAATAATCTAAAAATAATTGATTACCCCAAGAAATCTTTGGTATCATTAATTTTAGATAAATTTTTATTGGAACTTATAAATTCCTGATATAATTTATGTAAATGAGTAATTAGTCCGTTAGCTGCTATCAGACGTTCTTCAGCATCCAATGATGCTAATTGCCAAAAATAATCATAAGTAGAGGTAGCCATTGAAAATACACCAAAAAAAAAAATAAAAAAAAGATTATCTATATTTATAGCCCGAATCTGGCCGGACCATTTCGTCATTCGTGACGGAGTTCTCTTTCGGACCGAAAATTTTTAACGTCATCAAACTTCTAATAAATTTTCACTATTAATTTATTATAATTTTAGATAGGAGTTTGCTATTTATCACCTTCACCAGTATCACGTGATTATTTTTATCCAATAGGAATCGATTTATTTTTGCGTCCAATAAAATTGCAAATCAATAAATTTTATTAAAATTTAGTTAATCCAAAATCTAAACACGTTTTTACTAAATCTGCTATATTAGCTAAATATCTAATGATTTTCTTTATTAACTAAATCAGCTTTATGTTGCTTGCATCCTCTAATATTATGTCCTTTTTTTAGGCAATAACTGCAAGTTTTAGAGAAGTTTTATGTTGAATATTATTCTCTTCTATGAATGATTTATAATGCTTTGAAGGACGTCTTTTTGGCTTATGATATTTCAGGTTTGATATTTTAGAAATACAATTGTCTATTATAGCAACGGAGGAAGACTCTTGAATTTCATTGTTCAATTGTGATACATCATATATATGAAGTCGAAATGGATCATTTCGGATATCCGAAATGGTTGAAATAGTCGAAATCATTTTTTTTTTTTTTTTTTTATACTTTTACTAGGCACGCACAAGTGGTAATATATTTGGATGCATACCTTTCAACAGAATGATATGTCTTACAACAC